TCCACAAGTGAATACTGAACGGGATAACGCTTAATGTTCAAGTGAAGATAGAATTTGTACTATGTAACTGTCCACCACAGAATACTTCATTGACCTTCACTTTGTGATCCCTGTGGAGAATCTAACTCAAAAAGTTACTTTTTGTTTCTACTACTTTTTCTCAATGTATCTGTAGGGGCATGCCTCACCTCAGGAAAAGGGTTAGCTTTCTGCTAAAGGCTCTCCATCGCAAAATACCAACTGGCTCCCCACGGCAATATACTTAATTACAAAACCTCTCAAGTTTTAAGTCTGTAGGCGGAGTCTCATTTGGAAACTCATATAATTAATATTCTACAATAATAACTCTGTAGCTTGGTGCAGTAGTTTAGTGTAATGTGCAGAGGTCCTTCAATGCAATTACAATCATTGCATTATTGATCTAGGACTGGGAATTCTGGGTCAGGGCCTGAAAAATCTACCACAGAATTTTCTTCCTGATCTGCTAATATTTTTCCTTAGCTTATGTTCTGTGAATATGACTTGCTCTGGTTCAGCTCCCCCTCAATGCAACTATATTGCCAATTTTACCTACAAATCTGCATCTGATTATGATCAAGCACCGTGAATACATGTAATGGAAATTGATAAATGTGTTAAACAGGTACTGAAAATTCATTCTTGTTTTCTTATTAAAAAATGTTTGATATTTCCAGCTTCTGCAGCAAATCTACCCTAGTTTTGATTTTGTTTCATGGCAATTTGCACAATTTTAATAAAATAACTAGAATAATTAATGATATTCATTGATGTGAGAAAGGGAATCCATTATTGTATGTGAGTGAAATTTGGAGAACTATTTGGTTATTTGCTGTGATATTAACCATGCAAAATGAATAAAACAGAAGCGCTCACAGAGTCTAACTGTCAATAAATAAAGTTAAATGCTCGATAGTGAGAATTTTGACAGGATTTGGCTGCTGTTTTAAGCAGTGCATTCTCTCCGCACTCCTGCCCATGCTGATCAGGGAACCCTTCTGCACCTCTGAATCTGCTATTGCAACTCCATGCTCAAGCTGCAGGATTTTACTGAGTTTATTGCAGAAATGAGACTGAAGGCATTATAGATTTCTGGTGGTAACACAGTGTGGAGCTGGAGGAGCACAGCAGGCCAGGCAGTATCAGAGGAGCAGAAAAGTTGGTGTTTCGGGTCAGGATCTGAAGAAGGGTCCCGACCCAAAACGTCAACTTTCCTGCTCCTCTGATGCTGTCTGGCCTGCTGGCCTCCTCCAGCTCCACACTGTGTTATCTCTGACTCCAGCAACAGCAGTTCTTACTATCTCTGAAAGATTTCCGGTGGCCCTGGACTGGAGATGGTTGAGAGTTATTTCCAGTAGATTTTCTTCTTTTTCCATTAAATATTCAGAAAAGATGTGTTATGCAAATCGTAGGTTGCTTTTGATTTCACAAAAGGGAAGTTTAAATTTTGTTGTTGATTCAGTTTAAAAAAAAGCTAAAGAATTTTTCATTGTAGGCATATGGTGTAGTAACAACAGAATGCAGATCTGTGAAAACAGGATGTCAGTCTCTGTACTATATAAACTTTTGTAGGCTATCGTACTTAGCTGTAAATTCTGAGTAAATACTTTTGGCAGTATCAAGCATAATTAATGGAAATAATTTGTGAGGAGCAAACAATTCTTCAAATATTCAAACTGGAATCGGGTTGTATTTGATGCAAGCGGTTTTCATAGGACACAGGCTATAATGTTAAACAGATTGATACGTATTCTTACAAGTTATAAAACTGTACAATAGTTGTGGTGTTCATGAGGCCTGTTTCTGCAAATGTGTTATGCAAATTCAACAGTTGCTTAGGCATTTTTGAATGAAATCATTATTACACATGATTATTTAGAATATGGAATTCACACAGGGAATAGGATGCTATTATTTAATGTACTGAACAGGTTAATATATACTAATTATGTAACATTTGTAATTCCAAATGGAAGTTTACCAGATGCTTTCTCCAGCTCATTATCTTACTTATATTTTAATTTTTAAAAATAAAACTTGTCTTCATCTTGAACTCTTTTGATCCTTTACTGCTCTCTGTGTATATTTCATACATTCATTCATAAGATGTGGATAGTGAGGGTGTCCTAGTCCCAAATATCCTTGACTGCTTTATCAATGAAGTTCCTCTGTCATGAGATCAGGAATGGGGATTGTTTGCTGATAGTTAGAAAATGCTCAATACAATTTGCAAATGATCAGGTAAAATGAAGCGGATCCTGTCCTTAAGCAGTAAGACTGGACTACATACAAGCTTGTTCTGAAGTGGAATGTAACATTTGCCTCAGAGAAGTGCTAGGCTATGGCCATCTCCAACAAGAGAGAATGTAACCGTATCCCGTGACATTCAATTACATTATCATCATGAAATCCCTATTATCAACATCCTGTGGATTATCATTACCAGAAACAGACCAGCCACTTGAAAATTGCAATTTCCAGAGAAGATTAAAGACTGAGAATTCTGAAATGGATAACTCACCTCCTGAATCCAGAAATCTTTTCAAACATTTAGAACAATTCAGGAATTTGATGGAATAATTGCCATTTGCCAAGATGAATGCACCTCTCTCAATCAAGAAGCTTGATACCATCCAGGACAAAGCAACTCATTTCATTGGTACTACTTACATCGAATGGAACATTCACTGTCTCCAACATAAACACAGTAGCAATTGTGTGCAGTATATTCAAGATACATTGCAGCAAATTGCTTGCGCATCTTCAACAGCACTTACCCAACCTGTGAACTTTACAAGGTGTGACAAATGCAGCAGTTGCACAGGAACACTACCATTTCTTTAAAGATACAGACTGTCCTGATTTGTAACTGAATTGCCACTCCTTCACTGTCACTGGAAAAAAATCCTGGAGCTCCCTGCCTAACAGCCCTGTGGGTGTACTTGCACATCATGGTCCCTGGCTGTTGAAGATTGTTTGCTACCACCTTGTCAAGGGCAACTAATTGTGGCCTTGCCAGCAATGCTCACATTGCATGAAGAAAAAAAAAATTGCTGGAAGGCCAGTATTTAATGTTTATCACTAATTAACCTTGAGAGTGGTAATGAGCGAGCCTCGTGAATTACAGTGCCTTGTGGTCAAGGCACTCCCAAAAAGCTGTTACATAAAGATACCAGATTTTGACCATCAGGTATGAAGAAATGCAAGTCAGCTTAGAGAAGAACCTGGAGTTTATGTTCCCATGCACTTACGTCCATTGTCCTTTGATATGGTCAAAATCAAAGTTTTGTTGAGATGCTGCCAAAAAGCCTTGGAATGTTTCTTCAACGCATCTTGTAAAAACTTGTAGTGGTGAAGGGAGTGAGTGTTTAAACAAGGTGTATATCAAGCAGACTGCTTTTCCTGTATGTGTTGAGTTTCTTGAGTGTTGTTGGGACTTTACTATCCAGGCAGGTGGCGAGCTTTCCATCCCATTCTGACTTGAACATTGTGGGCAGATTTTCGGGAGTCAGGAGGTGAATCAGCCTCTACAGAATCTGGCATGCCAGCCTCAGATTCTTCCAGCCACAGTAATTATGTTACTGATCCAGTTAGGTTTCTGATAAACGTGAAGCATAGAGATTGATGGCAGGGGAAACCGACAGTGGCAATGCCAATGAACATCAAGGAAAGCGCATCAAGCTTTCTGCTATTAGAAATGGTTATTAATTGGCACTTGTGTGGTATGAATGTTGCTTGCTATTTGTCCAGGTTTTGCTGCACTGTCTACTGCACAGACTACTTAAGTATGTGAGGAAAAGCATGGTACTCAGAATCTAACTAAAAAGTTAGGTTGTTATTTGACTGGTCTGTGGCACACTTCCTAAATTCTAACACGGAGTTTGTTGAGGTGGCTGGGTGGATGTGGTTTTGTCATATCCGTTGGGTAACTTATTTATTGTATGAGGGAAATGAGTTGGGTACAAATAATAAAATTAATTTTAAAAACAGCTTGCATACCGAGGATAAATCAGCAACTGATTCCACTCCAGCATGTATGACATCTAAAGTCAGTAGATATATTTTGTTACTGAATCAGACATTTGATTTAAAGTACAATGGAAAACTGAAAACCATTTTTGATTCAAAAGTGAGCCAAGTGGAAAATAAAACCTTACTTAATTACTATTAACAAATCTGAAAAGCAATCAAACAAACAGATTTAAACTTGTCACATTTCAGCACAATATAAATTACAATCATACCCAAGAATCAAATTCTTCAAATAAAAGCAACAATTGCTGGAAAGACTGACCATTTTAGGCAGCATCTAGGGAGAGGGAGCCTTAACATCTCAGTTTGATTACTCTGAATGCAGAATTTTTGGTTTTCAGTTAAAATTTCTAGGTCTTTTTTCAGTTTATACTTTTCTTCTTATTCAATATAGAATAAATTTAGAGTATTAATGATAAACCCATTTAGCATTTGATTTGATTTATTATTGTCACATGTACCTAGATACAGTGAAAAGTTGTGTTTTGCGTGCAATACAGGCAGATCATACAAAGTGCATAGGGTAATAGAACAAAGCAAAGAATACAATGTTACGGCTGCAGAGAAGGTGCATAGAGAGCGAGATCAACATTAAATTTAAAACTTGAGAGATCCGTTCAGAAGTCTAAAAACAGCAGGAAGAATCTGTTCTTGAATCTATTCGTAAGGGTATACAAACTTTTATATCTTCTGCCCAACGGAAGAGGATGGAAGAGAGTATAACCAGGGTGAGAGGGGTCTTTGATTATGTTGGTTGCTTTCCCAAGGCAGCGGGAAGTATAGATGGAGTCAACGGATGGCTGCTTTGTGTGATGGACTCGGCTGTGTTCACAACTCTCTGTAGTTTCTTGCAGTCTTGGCAACAGCAGTTGCTATACTTGCATTTCTGAAGAAGGGTCTAGGCCCGAAACGTCAGCTTTCCTGCTCCTCTGATGCTGCTTGGCCTGCTGTGTTCATCCAGCTCTACACCTTGTTATCTCAGTTGCTATACCAAGCTGTGATGTATCCAGACAGAATGCTTTCTATGGTGCATGTATAAAAACTGGTTAAGAGTCCCTGTGGACATGCTGAATTTCTTCAGCCTCCCGAGGAAGTTGAGATGTTGTTGTGTTTTCTTGACCATTGTGTTGACTTGGGTGTACCAGGACAGACTGTTGGTAATCATTACTCCCAGGAAGTTGACGCTTTTGACCATCTCCATCTCAGCACCACTGATGCAGACAGGGGTGTGCCCTCCACACTGCTTTCTGAACTCAATGACCAGCTCCTTTGTTTTGTTGACATTTATGGAGAGACTGTTGTCTTTACACCATGCCACAACACACTCTCTCTTTTTCCTGTTTTCTGTCTTGTCATTGTTTGAAATCCACCCTACAATAGTGGTTTCATCAAACTTGAAAATGGTATTGGGATGGAATTTGGCCTCATAGTCATGAGTGTATAAGGACCTGAGTACACGGCCTTGTGCGGCATCGGTGTTGAGGATTCTGGTGGATGAGGTATTATCACAATCTTACTGATTGTGGTCTATGGGTCAGAAAGTTGAGGATCCAGTTATAGAGGGGGGAGCCGAGACCTAGGTCTCATGGCTTAGAGATGAGTTTGTTTGGAATTATAGTGTTTAAGACAGAACTGTAGTCAATAAGCAGGAGCTTGACTTAGGTATCCTTGTTATCTAGATCTTCCAGGGAGGAGTATGCGGCCAGGGAGATGGTGTCTGCTGTGGACTTATTGCGCTGGTAGGAGAATCGCAAAGGATCAAGGCAATCAGGTAGTCTGAAGTTGAGGTGAGCCACGGCTAACCTCTCAAAGCACTCGATAATCACAGAGATCAGAGACACCCGGCTGCAGTCATTGAGGCACATTGCAGGATTTTTCTCTGGCAACAGGATTATGGTGGTCTTCTTGAAGTGGGTGGGGATTTCAGACTGTAGTAAGGAGAAGTTAAAGATGTCTGTGAATACTCACGCCAGCATGTACCACCCATAGCAGATTCAGGACAGTATTTTCCCAGGTCATGGAAGCAGAATTCGTGATAGGGCATGGGGTGGGGGCGAACAAGGAAGAGACCTGGAACTTTACAGTGGCCACCAGTTTTTCCATACTCCTTGCACTTTTCTCTCTGATGTAGGAGCACATTGGTGGCAGAGGTACTTAGTTCAATTAGCTGGAATTTCATGTGCAGATTGTGGTCTTTCCACATTGTCCAACCCCTGTCTCCACTGCGTCTGCACCTCTGACAAGTAAAAGGAGGTGGAGACTGTATTGTGCAAGTGAAATTTAATTAATATTGGCAGAAAATAGCAAGCATGTTATATCCTCATCTTTCAGCCCTGTTTTTCAGCATGGAATTTAAGATAGATGTCTCCAATGCTATGTGCTACATGTTCTTAGCGCTTCCGTGGTGTTAGTGGCAGCTATAGTGAGTGCTTCCTTCAGAGGCTCAGCAGCACTTCCACTGTTTGCACATTGGGATCTGCTGGCCTTCCTCCACATGAGCATCACTGGTCTGATCTCCCATCTCTGGAACCCACTGCTGTTCTCAAACTGGACAAAGATAATATGGCCTGTTACTTGGCAGTGTCTCCAAAATGATGCCTTGCGCATAAAGATATAAACAGGGTTAGACCTGGAAATGGTTCTGACATCTGAGAATTTTGGAAGTCTGGAATTCCAACTTCAATCCCTGAACAGCTAAGTTTACTTTGCGCACTATCTGCCTTTTTATTGAACTTTTGAAATTATGTTTAATAGCTTCTTGTTTAATTTAAAGCTACCACTCACTGTACTGTACTTCAATTTCCCAAAAACACATGGTTGCAGATTGCAGGACACGAGTTGCTAGTCACAACAAACATGTTTTGTTCAAATTGCTGTTTCACTCATTAGATATTATCACTGACATAAAATTAACATATTTAATGTATGAACAATGGCTAAAAATAAACATGATGATTTATTTTTAAAGTTACAAATTGTACTCTTCCCGTAGCTTTTACTCTAATTTTAAACATCTAGAACGTCTTCCAATGAATTTCAGCATGATGTCCAAGGCAATCTTTTGGGCTGTATCATTACCAATGAGACATGTCTGGTAATTTCTTTTATCAGCAGTTGAAGTCCAACAATCAGCACTTGATGCCGTTAAATTCGCACCAATGGAAATTTCCTGTCCCCAAAAGCAAAGCTTGAAATCATCAAAACAGTGCCTCATGTATATCACTGTTCAATTGCATTTGTGTGCAGAGTTTACTGGAGCAGTGACTTTAATTGCAGAAAGCTTCTCCTGGACTCTTCTTTCTTCTTGTTCTATGACATGCCATAGCAGTAACTTTCATGGCATCCAGAAAATTTACTGACTTTTACATTGCACCATCAGACAATAACATTTCCAGCTCTTTTTTTATGTCCAATATCTCAGTTACAACTTTCAGCATATTGTCCTCCAAATTAAATATCTGGACTGTCATGTCTTCTATTTTCTTTTCAGTGCTTAGGAGTTCACTGGATATCTTAAGAACAGAGTGGACACCATTATCAATTATGGGAAGTTGTTCTTGACATTCTTTAAGTTTAGGTTCATAATCAGACAGTTTTTCTACTAACTCTTTATTCTTTGAAATCAAACTGATCTGTTGTTCAACTAATTTCTCAATGGTTTTCGTATTCCAGTTTGCTTGCTTCTCAAGGCCACCCAAATCCTCCTCCTCTTGCCGCTCAATTGCCTTTGTATTTCTCATAGTGCTCCCTTCTAAATCTTCCATCTGTTTTGAGAGATCCTTCACACCTTGTTCAACTATATTAATTTCTGATGAAATTTTGTTATGCATGCTCTTTGACTCTGACTTCAAGTTGGCAATCTCACTGTTTATTTCATTTAAACTTTGTTTCCAGGTGTCTGAAATATTTTGAAAGTTTTTATTGACAAGCTGCATTTTTCTTGCTATCATCTGTTCTTTATTCTGTAGGCTAATCATAGTGTTACGGAGCTCTGACATCTCCTGTTCGAAGAGGGCCATGACTGAGCTGGATGACAGGGCTTTCTGCAGGACTTCTTCTGATGATTCCAGCTGTATCCGCAATACAAAACAGGGCATATCTACTTAATCAGCAATAAAAAGTGACCAAATTCATTCTGACATAAATAGTAAATGTACATATTACTAATCAGCATCTTCTCCTTTCCAAGAATTTGACTTCAAAATATCATCCTAGAAATTTGTTTAAGCTCAGTCTGAGGTACAGAATGGACAGCACATTCCAGCACATCCACTAAATGCTGCAGATGTCAGATACCAGGCTTCACTATTATTTTCAGTGAATTGTGGGAACCTGTTAATCCTGCACAGACAGTTCACAAGACTCTGGAACTGCAGTTTGGATCAGCTTTCAGAATAGAAAATGCTGTTGGAAAACAGGAGGAGGCAGACGCAGGCCAGCAGCAGCCCACAGCTGTGTATGAGTACACAAACAGCCACAGTGCTTATGTTTTTGGTGTCAGCCTCCAACTATGCATTTAAAGACCACTCATTACACCACAGAAGAAACCAATAAGATTGAGCAAAGTGGGCACCTATTTTACACATCACTGACTAAATTTCCTACAGGAGTCTCAGACATAAAAGAAAATAATGTCAGCTACAAGTCCTCTAGAACTGTTTTTCAAAGAGCTTCACTTTATTGAAAATAATTCAAGAATTGTTTCTGACATGTACTAAAGTGTGCAATTAATGTGCACACCAAATGCAGCACAATACTGAAATAATAGGGCAAACAAGATTTTATGAGCATTAGCTTAAATTATATAAAGAGATCAATTCTCAAAATCCATGTTTGGTTAATGTAGTAATGTTCAAGATGTTCAAAAAAGCAATCCAATGTGATGGCAGGAAAAACAACATGTAACAATGTCTGCAGGAAAGTTTGAGATTCCCTATCATTTTTGAAGGTATTAATCAAATACAATTGGGCATAAACTACCACTAATGTTACAGTAATATATAAAAGTTATTTTAATAGCATTTTTGAAAAAAGTCAAAATGATCTTTTTCACTATTGTATTAACCCTATGCTACAAAATAAACAGAGGTATTAAGGTGGCGCAGTGTACTAGAAAACAACCTTTCAACTAATGGTATCTAGGATTGAGTTCAGCCAGACCAAGGAATTAAAGCATCCTGCGTTTGATGGTTCCAATCAAGTTCTTAGTAGGCAGTGGCAATAGGCATAGATAAAATGTGTACCCATGCAGACATTTATTGGCACTAAAATGGTAAACTCACTTAAGACAGCTTATATGGTAACAGATGCTGGAAAGGGATAAACGAGTGCTCCATCTCAGTTTGTATCACAATTTTGGGGGGCAGAGTAGAGACAACTCTCGTTAAAGTATAACTAGTTTGCACCTCTATCTGAATGAACAATCCTTGATGTATAAATGTCTCATGCTTCTTAATATGTGAAATGGCTATATTTGTAAATTAATGCAAATTATGTTTTATATGCATGTATATCATGAATAAAGCCTACTAAACCATTTGTACTTTATTACTTACTTTCCTTTGTGAAAAATAAACCGAGGGATGTTTTTAAATTTTTTTCTCTTTCCTTCAAATCCACCACTCATTTTGCTGGTTGGCACAACATTAAAAGGTTTGCCTTTGGTTGAAAACTAGCTTCAAAAACCAGATTTCCAGGTAATTGAACACCAGTACTGTCACAATTAACATTATCTCACTTACATAACAAGACCATGCCAATCAAAGACAAACAGAGATAGACTTCTGCAGGATGGCTTGCACAGAGAGATTAGAAACTTGCTTGTATGTTGGCAGATGATGAAACCAGTTGTAGTACAAGAAATGTAAACTGATAAAGCCATTGGCTGCTCTCCCATTAGAGTGGGATGACTGGGAGTGAGTTTAACCTGAGGATCACCATGCCTCAGGTGAGGGGAGCGGTTCAGAAGAAGAATGTTTCATGTTAACCTCAGTCAGTGTAGGAATTGACTTCATGCTGTTGGTGTCCCGCTGCACTGCAAACCAGCTGCCCTGCCGACTAAGCTAACTGACCCCCCAAAAAACTGATATAAATACTGTTTAATATAACATGACTGGTAATAAATATGAATCTTTCAGTCAAAGGGCATGTTTCAGCATACTGTCCCAGAAATAAGATTCAGAAACATTACCATTAGCAGGCAGGTATAACCAAATGTTATAGCGTTGGCAATTTAATTTTGAAGTCCAACTTTTTGAAATAAGTTGGCTAATCATCAATACTGGTCACAAAATAGTGTTAAGTTTCCCAGTTAAGTGTGATACAAGAATCAAAAAGATATGTCAATCAACTGTTTTCAAGTATGGTCAGTACATTATCAAATTCTTCAAAGTAGCAAGAATGTTTCAACATGATGTCCTGCAGAGACACTTTTCCTTCAATATTAGAACTATCTTGCAGCATATGCTGTAAGAAAATAGCTACGTGAATAACAGTGCTTTCATTTTTATTTCTTAAGGCTGAAAATATTTTAGATTATAGGCTTACAAAAGATTACTATCCTACACAGTAATCCCCAACATCAAGAACCATAATTTGAAAATCAACATCTGGGCAAATCCATTAGAAGGACTCAATTTGAACACAAAATCTGTCTTCATGGATCCAAAGCTAAGTGTAACTCTTCAAATATTCATAACTGCAAATCTCCTAGTGGATTCTGCCGATTGCTTACCATAACTTCAGCAGAAACTGCCTTATCTACCGCGTCTACCTACAGTTTCTACCTATCTTCCAAAGTTGTAGCAGATCGGAGAATCAAAGAAATTCTCGCCAAAGTCTTTATCTACAATAAAGCACAGGCTATTTTAAAGATGTGTGGACTGCACGAAATAGCTTTCAACACAACTTGTTAATGCTAATTATCTAACAGTAATCCAGGGAGAAATTATTGAAGAGTACAATATCCCAATAGTACTGGAGACATTTCATCCAACTAGTGGCTCAACTAAAAGAAGGCAGTTCACTCCCACTGATACATTAAGAGGAATATTTTCAGTGATTGGTATTTGTAGCACAGCTGCTAACATGCTCTTCACTTTTGTGTTTACAGTTTTGCTCCAAATGATGATCGGAGAAAATCTTCCGTGTATGTTTACATAAGAAGAGAGAACATTGTTTCCTTTACCCATTACAGCATATTTTCAAAACAGAAATATAAAATTAATCACAGTGAAGCTATAAAGGAGATTAGACAGCTCTTTTACAATTCCACACTATCACTAAAGAGCCTCATCTTTTATCAGTCTACACTGGAAGTTCTCAGGAAGGGTCACCGGACCTGAAATATTAACTCTGTTTTCTCCTTCATAGATGCTGCCAGACCTGCTGAGCTTTTTCAGCAACTTTGTTTTTGTTCCTGATTTACAGCATCTGCAGTTCTTTGGTTTTTATAATGGAAGTTTTATTGTTGACCCAGATTTGCAATGTACATTACAAAAGGCTAAGAATATCTACCAGCAAAATGAAGTGATAAAACGATCCAACAGAATTCCGCTCGTCCACTACAGGCAAACAGATGAGTGTAACAGACCCATGCCAAAGTGATTATGTTACTCAGATTTTTCTCCAGTTTATTTTGCAAAGGAGATAATCAAAGTGTGCAATTTCTACAGATTTCCCCTAACCTCATCCTATGCCCGTTCCAAAAGCACTGCAGAAATACCCCAGTTGGTTGTTTACATTTCTTCTTCAGAGTTTCCACCAAAATTATAGTGGAACATCAGTTGGACCTCTGAAGTTCTAGTTACTGCTTCCAGACATTAAAGGATTCATAGAATATGAACATAAACAGTAGGTTTGCAATTCTGCTGGAAAATTGGTGATGTTAGCAAGGCAGGGCTGAACAATATCAACTTTAATATTTATGTATTTAAGTAATTATTTTGAGATCAAGGGGAAATCTTGCGGTGTTTGAGGGGTATTTGTTCTACAGCTGCTCACCTCCATCAGCAAGTTAATTTAGCCTGAAATAGCCTCAGGCGGTATCAAGATTTGCAAATGGATTGTTAAAAAAAGGCTTGATCTAAAGAACTCTTCTTTTGCGCAATATTTTTTCATATACTCAAGCAGTCGTGACTTCATCTTTTATAATCATATAAACAACTCTGCAAAACTACAGCTTTGCTGTACACTTTGAACTGCATCCAACCATAAAGTATTTTTTCTTTAGGTTTGATAGTTTGTAAATGTGTGGCAAAGATATAAATTAATTACCTTTAAAACAGAATTCTGTACTGCCATACTTGCAAGGCATTTTACTCATTTGATAATCAAAGAAATTGTGTTTTAGAATGCTTGGTAATCGATCTGGCAGCTAATTGCACAAACAACACTCAATGAACTTCAAAACAATATATTATACATAGAATGGATTGAGATGTTTCTAGTAAGCAGAAAAAGGCTATGATAAAAATCTCAAGTCTGTTCTTTCTAGAATATTCAAATACACTGAAAACATGTATTCGTTATTAAGACATAAAACTACTTGTCTTTATAATCCCCTACGTACAGAACCTAATTAATGATATCCTTAAGAATTACAAAGTAAATGGATCACATTTCACGGAAAAATTACAATAATAGCAAGAGACCTAGACGAAAATTGAATGGAAACAATTATATTCATACTTTGCTGGAAGAGAAATAAAGTCCTAATCTGCAGGTTTCACTCTGGGCTTAACTAATTGCCTTGATTTGTTTAGTGACACCACACGCAAGGCCATATCTATTGCTCAAACTTAGGTGCCTCAAGTACAGAAATTCTTCAACATAGAATGGACTGCCTCAGACAGTAGTGTTAGTTACAGACGTTGTAGCTAAATGGAAATTTTCTCCCTTAAAGGCAATCAAAATAATCCAAAAACATTTGGAGCATCTTCTGATTCTAGCCCACTAATTAGTTGAATTCAATTTCACAATTTTTCTTGAAATTTAGGTGGATTGCCTATGCTAAATTGCCCAGTGTCCAAGGATGTGCAGGTTAGAAGGATTAGCCATGGAAAATGCAGTGTCACAGGGATAGAGTACAGGAGGTGGGTTTGGGTTGGATGCTGTTCAAAGGGTCAGTGTGGACTTGATAGGCCGAATAGCCTGATTCCACACTGTAGGGATTCTATGATTTTTGTCTGGAATGCTACATTATCGATGCAGGACCAGATCAGCTATGCTTACAGTGAATATTATGGATGCCCGTCTCTTCACCAAGTTTCGTTGCCAAAGGTTGGATGATGGACTTCTTACGGGGAAAGTATTGCAGTGGTTTGCCATTGTCTTCTGCAAGGCAGTGGAACAGGAATCTCTTGTGCTATTGCCATCTGCCATATTCGAAGGATTTACAAGCTGACAATCAATCTGTTAGGCCATCTTAGGATCACAGATCATAAAGTCCACACTGACCCTCCAAACAGCATCCCACCCAGCCCAGGCCCTCTGCTATACCTGTAATCCTCCATTTCCCTTGGCTAATCTACCTGGACAAAATGGGCCATTTAGCGTGGCCAATCCACCTAACCTGCACATCTTTGCACTTTGAAAGGAAAATGGAGTACCTGAAGGAAACCCACGCAGACACAGGGAGAACGGGTAAACCCTACACAGACAGTTGCCCGAATGTGGAATTGAACCCAGGTTCTTGGTGCTGGGAGGCAGCAGTGCTAACCATTGGCCATCATGTCCTCCTATGGGACGTAGACCAGATTTGAGAGGAAACCTATCACTGCACCACAACACCTCCTTCTGAATATTGAGTAATGATTCTTACCTGAACTGGATGAAACTTCTCTTTTAAATTCAAATTTAATCCATCATGCACCTTTTTTGCAACAGGTATTTTATCACATTTACCTTTTTTGAAACTTTGTTAATTTCATCTTCCAAGGCCTGGGCAGCTACAGATTTCATGTACAGCTGCTGATATTTTTGTTCCACATCAGCAAACTTAGCTGACTGCTGAAACATGAGCCTGCAAAAATAAAAGACAAATTTTACAATAGCGAACTTATTAACAATTCAGTAGCTGAATCTTCAAAGCAAAAGCAGCTGAAGGCCAACAGTTAAAGTCATCGTGGTGATTATAGCTTAATCTTTGCCCATTTTAAAGATATCAGTTTCACACATGTGGAGCTAAGGGATAAACAAACAGGTAGCAAAAAGTTACACCATCAATTCTGCATCTCTTCAATTCTTCCCTGTCCAGTGCAAAAATATAAACATAAAACAATTGCCATAAACCTAGGAATTATTATTGATGACCTAACGGTGCATCATATTTTGGTCTGTGATCCACATCTCATCAAGGAAGCAGTCAGTCAACACTTTGACTTTAATGTAAAAACAAAATGCCAGAGAAGTTCAACAGGTCTGGCAGCATCTGTGGAGAGAGCAAGAGTTAACTTTGAGTCAATGTGACTCTGCTCCATTCTTAAGAGGTCATAGTGAACATGAATCATTAATTGTTTCTCTCTCCACAGATGCTGCCAGATGCAAACTTTTCCAACATTTTATGTTTTTATATCAGATTTCCAGCATCCGCAGTAGTGTTTTTACTTTGGTTTTCAATACTGCAGTTGTAATTTGAGCAAGAAAACCACTTTCAAGGGGTCTGGCAACAGAATAAATTAGTATAGAATTACAACACTCTTTATTGTCACATGCACTCATACAGTGAAAAGTTTGTAATGTCACCTCTCAGCACATCTTCGGCACAGGGTACCTATGTACAGACAGATTAAGTATGGTTACAGAGTGAAAAAAAGTTAGCATGGAAACAGAGTTTAAAAAGTCCAGACTGATAATAAAAAGTGACCATAAGTACTTAAGTCCCCATCCCTCGTCAACATGAGTCCGTGCCCACAGGACACGAGGCCATGCTGCCTCCACATGCCAGCCTCCATCCAGGACTCGCTGGGCTGCCCCTCTGGCTCTAGTCCTCGCCTGTTCCGCCGCCATTTGGGTATTGGCCTGCTCACTCTGCCGCGACAGGTCTCATTCTGCGAATTGGCCCGTGCTTACCCTGCTGCCGCTGCTAAATTCAGTTCCCACCCCGGCTCCGGCTGCAACCGGCTCCCTCAACTCCATTCTTCAATTAGGGCAGGCAGTCAAAAGTTGGGGGTGGGGGAGAAGAAAAGCTACGAAGAAGAGAAAAAACAAAAAAGGAAAAGGAGCATGTAAGCAAAGGAGCTCCAACTGGAGCATCCTACTCTGCCACTGTCTTGAGCTTTTTGCGAATTTTTTTTAATGTGGTGTTCTTAATGGCTTGTCTAACCACTCTCTTCTTGATTGCTTTGACAAAAGAACATAGATTAGAGTCAGAGTTGTACAGCACAGAAAGAGACCCTTAGGTCCAACTCATACATGTCAACCAGATATCCTAAATTAATCCATGTGCCAGCATTTGACCCATATCCCTCTAAACCTTTCCTATTCATGTGCACATCCAGTTGCCTTTTAAATGTTGTAATCTTGAATAAAACCAGAAAACGTTATATTTTCAATTAATCTAGCAGGATCTGTGGAGAGAGAAACAAAGGTAACCTTGTTATGGTTCTGGAAAAGAGTCACCAATCTAAAAAGTCAACTATGTTTTTCTCTCCACCTACGCTACCTCTTTCCAACATGTTCTGCTTTTATTTCGTTCCAGCGTCCAGTACAGTATCCTTGTAGTGGTGGACTCTGGACACCACAGTAGGATGGAGCGTCACCTTTCCTGATCAGACAGTGATGGAAGAACTACTTGTTGGCAACTCTCATTGACAACTCTCACAATCCAATGAAGCATGTACTGGTTTCAGAGCGCGACGTGCAGCAGATCTACACAAAGAGGCTGTGGAAAAAGTATGAAACTTTTTAAGTGGATTGTCCAAATTAAAGCGACGTGTCTTCGGAATCGACCCAACCGAAGGTTTCTTCGTCGCTTCAACTCGGGCAGAAGCAAAAGTTTAAGGGAGCCCGGGGTTCACATTCCGTTCGGTGCAAGGCGTCAAACCTGCGTTTAAAAAAAAACGGTCAAAACGACCACGTCCACACATCAGCTTCGAGGTCCTTACAGGGGAGAAGAATGTAATAACCGCCTTCAGACATCGCCTCCCACTGGATTCAACCAAATTTCATCATTCCGGGGCGTTTATTTTTGCAGCAGGAATTCGAGCAAAAATCTCCCACTTTTTTTTTGCGTGGGCCCTCACAATCAGCAAACGCGGTACGAAGCCAGTTTGTGGAGCTCAATTTGACAGAGGACGGAAAAAAAACCACAGCCGGTTTCTTGAACGTTTGGTTTTACAAGAAAAGATATTAAAAATCCTTTCAGCTCACTGGAAACTGTCCGTCCGGTTTAGTGTACATCCTGACTCGTCGAATGTAAAAAGGTAAACAAAGAGTTGTTTGAAACAAAAAAAAATTCTCTCTCCCAGTTCCTTCAGCACTCGAAATAATTCTAACCTTCCCCCCTCCCTCAAAAGCTTTTAAATGAAGCGGAACATTACCCTACCCACCCCCCCATGCTTTTAAATGAAGAAGGAACAGGGGATCCACAAGTTGTCGAGAGACGACAGGAGGGGAAGAGGGCGGGCTCCCGCCTTTTCCTTACCCCGCCATGGCCGCGCTGGCGAGCAGCGACAGCAAACACAGCACATTCCTCACAGGGCCGTCTGACACCTTCCCTCTCGCAGCCTGCTCCCTCACACCGTCGCTCTGCTTATTGCCGGCCACGTTCTTCTTCCTCTGCTTCACTTCACTGGACATCTTGCAACCGTAATCCCCGCCCCGCGTTCAACACTTTCTGACCAAATTCCGGCGGCCAAGAAGCAGCCCCCACCCCCGACCCAAACGCGCACCCGGCGAACATAAACCAGTCACTTTTGGCCTTTTTCTTTTGTCTCTCAAAGAGTTTCCTCTGAGCGAATGAGAACTAAGATCTTGCAAGTTGACATGCCAGAGAACGGGAGAACTGTCAGTCTGCAGGAGACACGGGGTAATGGGACTGTAGATGGGCTTTAATCCCCAGGGAATTTTTTGGGGAGCTGGTTTGACTCTCACCATGATTCAGTCATAGACCGGAATAAATGAGGACTGTGGCACAATCTGCGTAAAAACCCATCTGGTTCACTCGTCCATTCTGATTCTTAGCTGCCCACTTTAAATAATTGACCTCCCCCACCCCCTCCTATAAACAATAACGGAAGCCTAACACAAAACAAAGAACTGGGTATGCTGGAGATCAGAAACACAAACAAAAATTACTGGAGAAACTCAGCAGGTCTGGCAGCATTTGTGGGAAGAAAGCAGCTTTAACTCTGGAGTCCAATAACTCTTCGCTCTTCAGAAACCTGTTGACCCAGCAACAGTCCTCAACTATTACTGCAGCACTATGTCTCAAACTAGTCAAGCAATAACCTGACAGTTATACCCAGGAAATCATACCTGCAACACTGTCCCAGACATCTTCTCAGAGGTGGTGGCACAGTGATGCACAATCAGTAGGGAGTTTCCCTGGAAGTCCTCAACATTGAAGTATTGTGGCATTATGTCAAATAGGTGCAATGAAAACTCCAGCTGAATACCTTATACCACCCTTCCTCAACAGATAAATCAGTGCTCCTTCATGCTGAACACTACATGGACGAAGCACAGAAGTAGCATGACAGCAGAATGTAATCTGGTTGGGAGACTTCAATGTTGAACAAAAAAAGTGGCTTAGCAGAACCACCGCTGACTGAGCTGGTTGAGTCCTTAAAAAGCACAGCTGCTAGACTGGGACTGCAGCAGGAATTGAAGACAATCCAGTGCAGAACAAAGGAGAAGGCAAAACATCTTTTACCTCATCCTTCACACTTCAATGTACCTGCCACTGTCCACTAATGCAGCTGTCCATGACAGCATTATGATCACAGTGCAGTTCTTGTGGAGACAAAGTCCTTTCTTCACATTGAGAATACTCTGCATCATGATTGTGGCACTAAAAGGTAAAGTTGCCATCGTCTTACCAGACCTCAGCGGGAGATGATGAGTGGTGATTTAACCTAAGGGTCACCATGCCTCAGGCGAGAGGAGAGGTTGAGAAGAAGGTAATCTCAGCCAGTATAGGAATTGCACCCACGCTATCAATGTCACCGTGCAACACAAGCCAGCCATCCAGCCAACTCAGTTAACTGACCCCAAAATACTACTACTATGCCAAATGAAGTAGACTTAAATGGATTTAGCAAATCAGGACTAGGTATTCCTGGAGATGCTGTGGGCCATCAGCAACAGCCAAATTGTACTCAAACACAATTTGTAAATCCATGGCCCAGTATACCCCCTCCATTACCAAATATCCTCCTCACTTTCACCTGGTCTATCTCTGACTTCGCTATTTCTGTGGATAGACTGTCTACCACTACCCACTACAAATGCACCAACTTCAGTTATTTTGACTACAGGTTACTGTATATTTAAGCTTCAGGTTTGTAGTTACTCTGTTAGGAAAATGTGAAATGGTGGTGCCTCTGTAGTTATGAATTTTGTTACCACTTTTGAAAATGGGCACCACATTAGTTTGTTTACAGCATAGCAAGAGCTTCCAAAGAGCCATTGACTCAAATGATCATTAGAATCTCAAATCAACATGAATACCACTGTTTCCTGACTCCCTTACACTGTACCTCTATGAAAACTATATTAAAGTAACTAACAATACTGCATCATTACATAAGGCAACTTGTTGGACTAATACTTGGGGTCCGTAGTCAATTATCATCAGTGTTGGTTCCCTCACTATAGCAATGTCCAGTGCTTCAAAAATCATAATCACTTCAGCAAAGAAAAAAAGCCAGCCATTAAGCCTAATTGCATTTACACCAGCTCTCCAAATGAATTCATTTAGTTAATCTCAATAACCCGGCACATTGTTCCTTCTCGGTCCAATTCCCTTTTGAATGGTTCAATTGAACCTGTCTCCATCAATATGTCAGTCAGTGCATTCTGTACCTTAACCACTCATTGTGTAGAAGTCATTCCTCATATCACTATTGCCTCTTCTTACCAATTACTTTAAATCTGTACCATTTGTTCTTCATTTTTTCATGAATTGGAACAGTTCCTCCCCAACTACTCTGCCCAGGCCTTGTAGGATTCTGAATCTATTTAACCTTAATTGCAAGACTCAGGGTCACTCTAAGTACAGTACTACTTAGTACAAACAAATGTTCACCAATTTATTAAGTTATCAAAAATAAGTGCAACGGAAACGGCACTTAACCAGATGGTGGAAGAAGCTACTCCATAAGAATATTGACCCTCAGCTAACTAGAGTACAATTTCTTTCTTATTCTTTCTGTACACACTACCACGGAAAAGGAAGCTTTATTAACTCTTTCTGAGCCACAATCCATAACATGATTAAAACTGTTTCGGAGTCCTGATTGGTCCAGGCATTGCATGATTAGATTCTTAATTGCCGAGGTGATGCGCACACAATTCACAAACAGTTTGGGGTGATTTGGATGGGCTAGGTACTGTATGTCCAATTTCTGATTGGTTTCTTTTTTTGTTAGTAACAGTCACCTACTGATATTATTTCCCATTATCTACTCATTGGTCTTTTAGATATTTTCAGGTCAACCTGATCAGAGAGTTTTCATTACACATCTTTGCAGCTGGTGGGACATTAATCTGGGCCTTCTGGTTTCAAGGTTGGGACAGCACCATTGCTCTACAAGACCCCTAATTGGTCTTTTAAGATGTCATTTACAAGGGCAGGGGGCATCCCTGTTTATTACAGCTTTGCCTATTTATTGAATTTTGGTACTTACCATTGAGACAGCAAAACAATTTATGATATCTCCTTTGCTGATTTATTAGAATGTATGTGGCCTGTTGTCATGAACTCATGGTCTCAGCCCTTGCTTAATTGAGGCACATTCCGAAATAAATAAAACATCTATCAGTTATTTTCTTTTCGAGTGCATCTGTTTATGTTTTTCATCTGTCTGATTGTGTTTGTTTGGAACAATTTATTTTAAAATAAAGAACAGAGAGGAAAAGTTATTTGAATTGTACAACATAAAACTAACACAGAAAACGCATAAAATCAAAGAGTAGTTAATATTAAAAGTTATTTAAACATTTGCAAGTGCAAAATAAAAATTGTATAACTGTGAGTCAACTGTACACATTCAATCAATATATTGTTTCACTGATCAAAGTCTAGAAATTATATTGCTTACAAACAAACCAGATTTTGTTTCAGAATATTCTAAATACAATTAGCAAAGCATTTACTTGTTTTTTTTCAAATTTAACCTATTCTTCTAATCAGCCTGGTCAGAATTTTTTATTACACACCCTTGGAGCAGGTGGGACTTGAACCGAGGACTCCCAGTTCAGGGGTGGAGGGGGTGCAGATTGTTAGGGACTCTGCCACTGCACCACAAGAGACTCAGTAAAATATTTACTTGTTTTCCAAAATAAAACTAGAAAATAGGTATTGTATCTCTTTCATTTGCTGATGATGCTAAGTTCTTGAGAGTAACTTAACAATGTGAAAGAATGTAATTATTCAATCTTAACAGAGTTTGTCACTTTTATTCTGCTTAAAACCCTGTGGGCATTCCTCTTTTCAGTGATTATATGATTAATATAGTCTGAAATAATTTTGTTTTAAAATATTCATTCATAGAATGTGGGCATTGTTGGCTTAGCCTAATTGTCCCTTAAACTGAGTGCTTTGCTAGGACCTTTTCAGAGGGCAATTAAGAGTCAACCACCTGACTGAAGTTGAGTTTCATGGAGGTCAGATCAGGTAAGGGTGGCACACTAGTGAACCAGATGGGTTTTTAAAACAACAACCTACAATGGTTACATAGCTACCAGGAAGCTAGCTTTCAATTCCTGATTACTTCTATTGAATTCAAATATTCATTCAATATGGTGGGATTTCCAGAACATTTGCCTGAGCATTTAGTTTATTAGTCCAGTGATATTATCATATTGCCACCACCTCCTGGTGATTTCATGCCATTAATTACCTTTCAATACCTCATGATTCTGAATATCTTCATCAAGTTTCCTGTCAGCCTTCTCCAAGGAAAAGTCGCAACTTCTCCAATTTTTCCCCATAAATGAAGTTCCCATCACTGAATCATTCTCATGAATCTCATAAAATGACGTGCAATTGGTTGGAAAATTTTAGAACAATTATTATATGGTTACTTACAGCAAAATTATTCACATTTGCAGCTATTGTTGTGACTGAATTATTGTTTTACTTAGATCAGTGAACTGTAGTTCTGTATATACCTTTCAGGTGAAGCAGCAGTTTACTTGTACAATACTTCTTTCAATCCGGTCTACTACATTCACAATATGGTCTTCTTTAAATTGGCAAGAAGAAAATGCAGACTGAGTGACAACTTTGTGGAACGTCTCTGCTCTGACTGTAAGAATGACTTGGAGCTTCAAATTGATTGTCCTTTCAAAAACCAGCTTGCCAACTACCACCCCTCCCCCATCTTGTTTATGTCTTGTCAGCTTTGCTGTCAGCAGAGTGGACCCACCATTTTCTCTCTTTGTGTTTCATTCTGAGCATTCTCACCATCTGTTCCACTTAGTCCTCCTCCCATTCTGTCAACTACATAAAAAATACCATTTTGCAGCCTAGTTCTCAAGATGAATCGTTTTGGACTTGAAGAATTAATTCTGTTTCTCTCCACAGATGTTGCTAAATCTACAGAGTTTCTCCAGCATTTTTTGTTTTTATTTCTGATTTCGAGCATCTGCAGTACTTTATTTTAGTTGGTAGAAAAATAGATTTATTTTAACTCTTCTTACTGTATAGATCCTGATGACCCTTGAACTACAAACCAGGACAATGAATAGACACACAGCTAGGATGAACAACCATCGGGATAGGCAATTTGCTCATAACCTGATGACAATAGAAACAATGACAAGTCAGGTAAACA